ACTTTGCGTCAGTATTCACCATAGAGGACTTGGTGGATGATGAGTCTGGGGAAAGGTATGTAGATAGTTTGGGTCATGTTGAGATTAAAAGGGAGGATGTATTGGGGGTCTTGAAAAACATTAAGGTAGACAAGTCCCCAGGGCCTGATGGGATACACCTCCAGAATACTGAGAGAGGCAAGGGAGGAAATTGCTGGGGCCTTGAGAGAAATCTTTGTATCCTCACTGGCTACAGGGGAGGTCCCAGAGAATTGGAGAATTGCAAGTGTTGTTCCTTTGTTGAAGAAGAGTGGCAGGGATTATCCAGCTAATTACAGGCCAGTGAGCCTTACATCAGTGGTAGGGAAATTATTGGAGAGGATTCTTTGATACAGGATTTACTCCCACTTGGAAATAAGTGGGCATATTAGCAAGAGGCGACATGGTTTTGTGAAAGGGAGGCTGTGTCTCACTAACTTGATTGAGTTTTTTGAGGAAGTGATGAAGATGATCGATGGGCATAGGGCAGTGGATGTTGTCTACGTGGACTTCAAAAGGTAAAGTTGCATGGGGTCAGAGGTGAGCTTGCAAGATGGATAAAAACTGGCTCGGTCATAGAAGATAGAGGGTAGCAGTGGAAGAGTGTGTTTCTGAATGAAGGGGTGTGACTGGCAGTGTTCCTTAGGGATCAGTGTTTGGGACCTTTGCTATTTGTAATATATATATAAATGATTTGGAGGAAAATGTAACTGGTTTGATTAGTAAGTTTGCGGATGACACAAAGATTGGTGGAATTGCGGATAGTGATGAGGACTGTCAGAGGATACAGCAGGATATAGATCATTTGGTGACTTGGGCAGAGTGATGGCAGATGGAGTTTAATCCGGAAAAGTATGAGGTAATGCATTTCGGAAGGTCTAATCCAGACGGAAAGTATACAGTAAATGGCAGAACCCTTAAGAGTACTGACAGGCAGAGGGATCTGGGTGTACAGGTACAGAGGTCACTGAAAGTGGCAATGCAGATGGAGAAAGTAGTCAACAAGGCATACAGCATGCTTGTGTTCATCGGCTGAAGACATTGAGTATAAAAATTGGCAGGTAATGTTGCAGCTTTATGGAACCTTAGTTATAGAACCTTTGGAATATTGTGTTCAATTCTGGTCACCATACTACTAGAAGGATGTGGTGGCTTTGGCAAGGGTACAGAAAAGATTTACCAGGATGTTGCCTGGTATGGAGGGCATTAGCTATGAGGAGAGGTTGGAGAAACTTGGGTTGTTCTCACTGGAATGACAGAGATCGAGGGGCAACCTGATAGAGGTCTACAAGGTTATGAAGGGCTTGGACAGAGTGGACAGTCAGACGCTTTTTCCCAGGGGTGGAAGAATCAGTTACTAGGGAGCATAGATTTAAGGTGTGAGGCACAATTTAAAGGTGATGTTCAAGGCAGATTTTTGTTTTACAGAGAGGGTGGTGGGTGCCTGGAACTTGCTGCCGGGGGAGCTGTTGGAAGCAGATATGATAGTGACTTTTAAAGGGCATCTTGACAAATACATGAATAGGATGGGAATAGAGGGATACAGTCCCCGGAAGGGTAGGGGGGTTTTGGTTGTGACAAGCAGCATGTCGGTGCAGGCTTGGAGGGCTGAAGGGCTTGTTCCTGTGCTGTAATTTTCTTTGGTTAACTGGCCTATAGTCTCAAAGAACAAACAGCTGTTAGGGGGAATAAAGCTGGAGGCCTTTCTTAAGGAAGAAATAATAAGACAAATTCAAGGTAATCAATCAAATATAGTTAACATGGTTTGGTGAAAGGGATATCATATTTGACAAATTTGCTAAAGTTCTTTGAAGAAATGGCAAGCAAGTTGATAAAGAGGAACAGTTGATGTAGTGTATTTGGATTTTCAGTAGGCATTCAATAAGGTGCCATGTAAAAGGTAGGCACAAGACAGAGCTCACAGTATTGAGGGCAGTGTTTTAGCATGGATGGAGGATTGGCTGAGCCAGGATTAATGGGCATTTTACAGGTGGAAAGCCACAAGGATCAGTCCTCGTGCCTCGTGCCTCAATTATCTACTGTCTATATTAATGACTTGGAGGAGAGGGCAGAGTGGTGTATCCAGAAAAGCAAAAGAACCGCAGATGCTGGAAATCTGAAATAAAAGCAAAAATTGCTGGAAAACCTCAGCAGGTCTGGCAGCACCTGTGCAGAGAAATGAGAGTTAATGTTTCGGTCCAATGACTCCTCTTCAGAACTGTCACTGGACCCGAAATGTTAACCCTGATTTCCCTCCACAAATACTGCCAGACCTGTCGAGATTTTCCAGCAATTTCTGGTTATGTATCCAAATTTGCTGATGATTCAACAATAGTTGAGCGAACATCTTGTGACGAGGACATAAGAAGTCTGCAGGGGCCTATAGTTAGGTTGAGTGCACAAAAATTTAGCTGATAGAGTTTAAGGTAGGAAAGAGTGAGGTCATGCACTTTTGTAGGAAGAGTCAAAAGGCAGATTATTATTTAAATGGACAGACACTCCAGGTAGAGCACAGAGGGATCTTATTTGAATGGATGAACACATCAAACATTAGCATGCAGGTGCAGCAAGTAATTAAGAAGGCAAGTTAAATTTTGGCCTTTTTTGCAAAGGGGGTCAGAGTTTAAAAATAAGGAAGTCTTGTTACAACTGTAGAGGGTGATAGTGAGGCACTAGAGACATAGTTATAGAGTAAGGTGACATTCATTTAAAACTGAGAAACAAGGAATTACTTTGCCCAGAGGCTAGTGAATGTCTGGAATTCTACTCAGAGTTATGGAGGCTAAATCAATAGAAATGTTGAAAAAGGAGTAGATAGATTTCTGAAGAAGGGTCTAGGCCCGAAACGTCAGCCTTCCTGCTCCTCTGATGCTGCTTGGCCTGCTGTGTTCATCCAGCTCTACACCTTGTTATCTCAGATAGATTGTAAAACATCTGGGTGTTGAATCTATTAAAAGCTTGCATGAAAGAAGAATTGAGGCCAAGATGAGATCAGCCATGATTGTATAAACTGGTGGGTCAGGTTTGTGAGGCTGAATGGCCCATACCTGCTCCTATTCCTTATAATAGTGAACAAAGTACAAAGAACAATACAGCACAGGCCCTTCGGAACTTCAGGAAAACATCTTCCCACTAATTACAATGGTGTAGGAACTATTGTAATTTAGGAGTGATGGTAACTGGTTTGAACACCACAAACTCCCACATAGATAATAAGGTGATAATCACCAGATAATTTGTTTTGTGATGTTTGACACATAAATGTTAACCAGGACACTGGGATCAGTCTTTAACACTCACTTTGCTCAATACTGCAGAGGAGCAAATGTCAGCTTAGTGTCTGTATCCAAAGCATGGAATGGAGCTTGAAAGGATAACCTTCTGACTCTGAGGATTGAGTAGAACTAACCGAGCTACAGCTGTATCTTCTTCAAAAGATCAACAACTGTCCTGGATATACACCTTCATCTTCCTTTGTTCAAATCCTTCGTTAATATGGCAAAATATTGAGGCCTAAGACAGATTCCTGGGAAGTCATTCACTTGTATTGTGTTCCACCTACAGCAACCAATTATTGACTCAACTCAGCAGGCTATCTCCAGTTCTGTGCACTCTTATTTTTGTCAGTAATCACGTATGTTGATTCTTATCAAATAACAACTAGAGGTCTATGGCTGGTCTAGATAACATCCATTCTCTTAATTGATTAATGATTTCAATGAATTGAACTAGGTCAAATATAATGTGTTCTATTTGTTCATCACCCCATTACCATTCACCCTATCCCACCGTCTTCTACTCAGTGCATAGCTCTAGTGCATGACAATAATTAAAGCTTATTCCTCTACTTCCTTGGCTTCATTGTACCCAAAGTCTCTGACTGAAGCCTGTTCCCTTTTGTGCTACCCGTGTCTCGTTCTTGTTCTGAGATCAAAAGAACATAGGCAACTAATAATCTATCCATCATCTTAAACATTGACAACCTCCATTATTAGTGCACCCTGTCTGTAAACGTGTACAAATTTAAGATGCACTGTGGCACCTTGCCAAGGCTTCTTTGGCACCACCTTCCAAACTTGTGACTGTTGGCACCTGGAGGAACAAAAACAGCAGAAACATGAGCACACCACCCCTGCATGCCATATGCAGTCCTGTTCTGAAGAGAATCTCACATTCATCACTGCTGAGTCAAAATTCTGGAACTCTCTCTAACTTTGTGAATTGCACTAGTTCAAGGAGGCAGCATATTCTGAAAGGCAAGTGGGACGGCCAATAAATGTCACGGATGCCCACATCCCATAGATGAACGCCAAGTGTCTTTTTTTTTGGTCTCTACAGCAACAAAACATTAACGTTCCATGGAGCTTCTTGGGAACATAGTCGTACAAAAGGTTTGACATTGAGGCAAAGAAGATATACTTAAGGTTAGGGGATAAGAAGCTTGATTGCAAAGGTGAAACCCTAAAGGATAGTATTACAGTACGAGAAAAAGGGGGAGATGTTCCAGGATGAGCTCCCAGAGTTTAGGATGTGGAAGGTACAATTACCAAAAGTGTAGCAAGGGTAGGCCTGAATTAGAGTCCACAAGAAGTCTCAGAAAGTACTGGGGTAAGTTACAGAAATCAGCAGGGGAAATCCAAGAGGGATTTCAACATTTGGATGAGTCGATGGACTTGAACCATCCTGGTTTAGTTACATACACACCATCTTTGATTAATTTGCCTCATTACATATTCTTGGACTATTCCAATGGTTACTTATTTCCCTTTAGAAGTAAAGGCTTTCCACCTGATTGCAGCAGTTAATGAATATGGTTTCCATAATACTGCCACCTCTGCTTCTGTTTTTCTTATGTGTCATCTTCATGCTGGCTATATTGTCATTCAACATGCACTGATAGTGGCAAGTTCCCACTGGGTGCATGCCCTGAGTGCTCAGATCATTCAGCTTGTTATCACCGCTAGTCTCCTTTTGTGTTTCAGTGCCAAAGGATCTACTGCCTGATATGTTAGAAAGCGACAGTCTGGAGAAACACGAATTAGCCTTTTTGAATGACCTGTTAAACCCTCAACCCAGTAACTTCAGCCACAACTGGCCGAGTACATTTGGAAGCTCTGAACCTGTGACTGGAATGGTCGAACCCAAACCAACAGACACACCAACTGGTTTCCTGCCATCTCAGCTCTTCGAGCTCAGCCATGACCCAACAGGATCTTTCATTGGTGAGTCATATTTCTTCATCCTCACTGCTCTTCAAATTCTATCTTTTGTCCCATAGAGCTGCAGTTTCAAAAGCATAATTTCCACAATATCCCATCCCCTTGTCCTTTCCTACAAACCCCACGATTACAAACCTTCCCTAACTGATATAATGCACTAAAATGCTGCTCACAGATCTCTGTAATGATACAACATAGTCAGTAAACCCACCTCTATCTAACAAACGCAGTGATCTCTTTTCCAGTCATACCCAGCCCCCGAGAGAAAGCATTCTCCTGTAATCAGTTCAAGTGTGACACAAGCAAACCAGCATTTTCTGATCATTCCTGTTTCTACTGAGGACATTTGGAGTGAAGCACTTGTTAAAACAAAAGGCAGGTGATGGCCTCCATTGCCCCATTGTGGAGACATATTCCTTGATGCCCAGTCTGGCAACAGCCCAGAAAATTCCCAGGCAAGCCCCCAAGAGAGCTCCCATTTCTTTTGTGGGAAGCATGGTGCACTAGGATGGGATACGTCAACCAAGGCTCTCAACCCTCCACAATTATCGTGGTTATGGACACTGTCCAGTAAATTCTGTTAGCCTGAGAAATCCCAGTCTTCAATGTGAATATCTTCTGGCCCATTAGAATAAAGCAGGTAAGAAAGAAAGAAAGGAGATCGGAAATGTCAGGCTAAGGATGCTCCCTAAAGTCTGGATAGAAAGCAGGACTGAATATCCCTTCCACAGCCCATATACCACAAACTCTCAATCAGTCCTTTAGTTCAGCATCTGAGTGTGTTATTCTGATACTGCTTTGTTATTGTTTGAGGTTGGACAGATGCACCCAAACAACAGCCAGCACCACTTCTAGCCCCACACCCGGAGACAAAGGTTTCAGAAACCAACCACCAGACTCTACCAAATGTTCCAACTAAAGGTATGTAACCTAGAGCAAAATAGAATGCTTCATATTTCCTCGTAATTCATATGGACAGGGTTAACAATCTTCTTTTGGAATTATTGCTGTTTGGAATACTGTTCTTTCTGACATAAATTAGATTCCAGTGAAATTAAAAAAAATCATCATTGGCATAGTAGACCATTGTCATGTCAATACATGAAATGATTAACACCGTCAGCAAGTCATTGACAAGTTCAGAAGTCACACGACACCAGGTTATAGCCCAACAGGTTTATTTAAAATCACAAGCATTGGGAGTCCTGACAAAGGAGCAGCGCTCTGAAAGCTTGTGATTTCAAATAAACCTGTTGGGCTATAACCTGGTGTCGTGTGACTTCTGGCCTTGTCCACCTCAGTCCAACACCGGCACCTTCACATCATATTCATTGCCACACTGAGCTTTTTAAGTTCAAGGCGGCACATTTGGGTCCCAGACTTGGCTGGTTCCAATTGAAGAGGTTTAGATTTAGCACCTGAGAGGAACACCATCAGCACTCCCAATCCAGATACCCTTGCACGGAGACAAGCCTAAGCACTTCAGAGGCAATAGTTGTGAACTGTAGACCAAAATGAGTCAGTGCCCCACAGTGAAGAGAGGAAGACAGTGAAGAATCTCATTGTGCCAGAGTAGTTTTACTGGTGAAATCCATTTATTTCTGACCTTTGACCTTGTGGGCAGAATCACACCAAAAAGAGACACGCTGGCACCTGAGCTCAGTAAATACCGACGCTCCAGCACTTCCATTGGTCACCTTGAAAGTAGGAAGTCTGCATACATTATGTACTTTTGTGTAAACCTACTTCAGGCATTTGAAAGTGACTAGGTCTCATTTACTGTAATAATCTTTGTTTATGCTGGCACAACACAGTTGCCAAATCAGCCCCCTCAGTTACTGTTCCAGTTGTCTGCTGTATGAAATAAAATGCTGAAGAACCCCAGCAGATCTGGCAGCAGCTGTGCAGAGAAACAGAGATCTTGTTTTGATATCATAACCAGGGAGTCTGAATGGTGTTCTGACGTCAGCAACTTGTAAAGCTGTACACAGATACAAGATTAGCTTTTGTTACTTGGAAGTGTTTGTAACTAAGTCTTTCCTCTTCCTTGCAGCTGCTAAGGGCAACACACAGGACAAATCAGCTTGGTTCAATCTGTTCGCAGACCTGGATCCCCTATCTAATCCTGATGCTATTGGTCGTACGGCTGAGGACCTTCTTAATGCTTGAAGCTGGGCAAGACAGACACTAAGTTATATAATACACAAATGTCTTACTACTGCAATTTTATCAAATATATATATTGTTTAATGTATATATTTACTAAAACACTGGGTTACTATCTCTTAAGCTACAGCATTTTAGAGTTGCAATGGGGGTTGGTTCAATGGAATGATACTGAACCACTAAGCTACTGGGATGTGGTGTTAATGATTCAGAGTTCTTGTTTAATTTTTCACTTTCAGGGTGTGCTGCTGTAATCTGGTTGCTGATTATTTACCTGTTAACAGATAGTACCAAGCAGATGTTAACTAGCACATCACAGGCTGTGGGATAGGGCCACAGAGTTGATGTAGAAGCTATACTGCCTGACAATAGTTTTCCTAGTCTGCTTGCTGTGTTAGGGACCACACGATGTCTGGATCAGTTGAGAATGAATGTGTTCAATCAATATGGTGATCTGGCAATGGGCTATTTTACAGCAGCATCATATTAGTTACAACAAAGTTTCTTTTTTTAAACAAATTGTCAGGGACAAATGTAGAAGTGTTCTTTGTACAATGAAATGATTCATATCTATTTCTTAGTTTAATTACTTACCTTTTAATGTCAGACTGGTTTTAAAAATGTGATTGAGAAGTGTTTTGAGTGGTGTCTATAAGCTGACTGGATTGGACCAAATTGTTTGTTACTAGACACAGGCAGCTGTCTGTCTCTGTGATTCATTTACTCCTGGTGGGAGAACTGTGCTGCTATTACCTGTAGCATCTGAAACATTACACTAACTTCAGAAAGGTGGACTACCTGCTGTTTGTCATTTTAGCCAAAGTTTTCCCTTATGGCACTAGGACCATATTTATCACTGATATGATTAGCAGTGGAAGTCATCCCTCCTTTCCATTAAGTCCAGCAATAAGTGCCTTCTTCTAAAGAGGGCCTGTGGTTTGATGGAATGGGCCAGGTCATGCTGGATAGAGACTGCAACCTTTCCTCATACACGATGCACTATGAAAACACAGGAGGTTAAAGAAATTAGGGAGTATTGGGAGAAAGAAAACCAAGCCTTCATAGCAATTAAAAGTTACATCTTTAACTGTGGCCTTAGAAAGCTCAAATGATTCCTCCTTGGTGCCGATTTGAAAAATAAACAAACAAACAATCTGAAATGAAGTGAGCACATTTCAACAAGACGATTGTCATAGTGCCATTGGATTAGTGAGGTGGCAGCCAGGGTTGCTACAACCCAGGCTGGTTATCTGGAAAAGCCTGCGGAAAACTTGATTGGATTATTGTTGTTAATTGGTCAAGTAGTCTTGCCCTTGAGAAAGGGAGATATGGAGCAGTGCCAAGCACCTCAGTGGAATGTGGCAATTGTCAGCCCTGACCCAGTGGTTGGGTTGCATCTGTCAGCAGTTTTTGTTTTCACTCATCATTCAGGAACTCACTTCATTGATGCCTTAGCTCAAAAGTTGCAAAAACCAAAAGGTGCTGAATGGCATTTGCAGGCTCCCCGAGATGTGTTGGATTCTTGGCACTGTCCACTCTGTCATTCACTATATTATAATATTTTAGAAAGATAAACAGAGAAGGGTGTAGCATGCTACAAGCTGTGTTTTGAACAGAATACATCACTATTTAAACATTAAACATTGGTTCCTGTCCAAAAAGCAATAATTCTAGATCATGTAGAGAAAATGAAGAAATAACATCAGAGAAAAGAGTTTTTAAACTCTGCTAAGTTACAACCACTGAATTGGAAAAGATTTCTCTTATAATGAAGAGGACTCTTGAGCACAGCATGCCTATAAAGGAGAACCTGTTACCTTGTCAAACACTGGAATTGAACACAGCCTTACTTCAAACAGTGCAACAGTAGCACTGAATTCAAACCTGGACTATTTCTTATCTAAAATTGAGCCACACAGTCCAGTAAATCCCCATAACGTCTGGTCTGGCTGTGTTCTCGGAGTTTAACTGTTTTCTTATCACAGAAGTGCATGTATAAAATAGTCAGTACATTTGATTGCAACTCTCCAGCAACTGTAATGTGATCCAGAACATTATATAGCCTGCCAGTTACAGAACTGCACAGGACGTATTGGATGAAATGCAATTCATATAGATTGCACAGAAACCTCAATTACTAGTCAAAACAGCATGCATATGAGAACATCAATACTGCTCCACGGTCATGACACGTGCAGTTGGCTGATATGAGGAATGACTACTGAGGCGAGTTACAAGAGGGAGCCTGACCTTTATTAAACTTTATCTCACCAGAGGAGGACTAAGGGAAAAGTCTATGTACGAAGAATAATACCTCTAGTTCACAAAATAAATCTGACATCGTAAACTGAAGCATGAGTAATTTATTGATCGCTGTCAGCCGTTAAGTCTATCTCATTTACCACCATTAAGTCATTATTATTTTCAATGTTTTTTGTTTCCGTTTTGAGGCTCTTTAGTGCAGAAATACCTGCCCATTTTCAACTATTTTTGTGACAGTTGGCATCCTTGTGGAATACTCATTTTGAAAAGCAGCCTGTTTCCATCATTTCCGACTTTTACTTGTGTGAAATCACCAGGTTGGTTTTTCACTCTTGTTTGATCTTGTTTGTAGCCTGCATGCTGTTCATTAACCTACAGCGAGGTAGACAGCAGTGCAGCTACAATGTACCCACCCCTCCTATCCCATCCACAAGGGAAACCTGCTAGCCCTCCAGGCTGGACTGAATTTCATTGACTGGAGTGAAATGGCATTGCCCAGTGGCCCATAATCAATTGAGCAGATGGCAGGTGAAGAACACCGGGTGAGAAAATTGCCAAATAGATACTTTTAAACCATTAGTGTTTAATGTTTTAAATAGTGTAAAATTACACAATAATTCAGTTGATCTGCACAGAATCGCACATAGCCCATTTGTAATAATTAACATCCATAACAGAGTTTCAGCAGTTTCTCCAGCATTGTACCCAATGAAATCCATATCAATCATGCTAATTGCACATGTGGAAAGTGCAGTTAAATGGATGATGTCAACTTGTTTTAGTGAGGGTCATGCTGCAAGCAGAGGACTGTAACTTGACAAAAAAAGAATATCTATGAAGATGTTTAACACTAACTTTAAAAAGTCTATAAAGAAAATGTAGGATTTGAGTTTCTCCACTGGTTGAGTGTTTGTATTTTCTATTCAATACTTATCTGGAAACTGAGTCTTCTATTAAAAATAGTCATTTCTCAACATTTAATGGCTTTATCCTTCTTCTTTAAATGCACCTTTGTACATAAAACAATTGGGACACAATGACATCTTAATTGTCCAGTACCATTATGACATCTGTTCCTAGTCAGGTTTTTTTTTAAAACCCCCATCAATTCCAGATATTTAGGTTCCATTGCTAGAGATCAGCACCTTTAAAACTACCAGATAAAGTCTAAATTTCATCTGGAACATAACATCGATAGCGGGATGTATACATGAAGACTATCATTAAATGAGCAGCATCCTACCTTAAGACTATCGCATGCTAATTGATCTCCATTATTTATCATTCTGTGTCCGCTGTTCCTTCCACTCAAATCAACACTGAAGTAATCATGGCTTTATCTCTACTTTGGTGACTTATGAGGAGACTGAATAGACTGGAATTATATTAATTGGAATTTAGAAGAATTGGGGAGATCTTATAGAAACATATAAAATTATGAAGGGAATACGTAAGATAGAAGCAGGGAGGTTGTTTCCACGGGCGGGTGGGACGAAAACAAGAGGGCATAGCCTCAAAATTAAGGGAAGCTGACTTAGGACTGAATCGAGGAGGAAAGAATTAAGGGTTATGGAGAGAGGGTGGGTAGATGGAACTGAGGCTCCAAAAAGATTGGCGATGATCTTATTGAATGATGGAGTGGGCTCGAAGGGTCAGATGGCCTCCTCTTGCTCCTGGTTCTTATGTTCTCTAACCTCAGTTCTCCCCAATTTCTTGCTGACAGCCACTGTCCATGCTTACTGATAATCAAATAGAAATTGTCCAATGACACGCAATTCTACTGCTTCACCTCAATTGTACCATCCAACAGCTTGTTTCATATGCTGTGCTTTCAGCTGCTTAACATTTGGCACATTTAGTTCTTCTTCCTCTTGCCACAAACTGTTCACCCAGGACATCAATCTATCCCTATCCCAACATGGGGGTTAGCCATTCAGCCCTTCAGGTCTTTACACCATTTCATTAGATCCTGACTGACCTGCAATTCCCACCTTTCACCTGTAATCCTTCACATCCTCAGTTTCAAAAGAAACAGAAGGGGAGGCAGTGGCATTCCAGAATTCCAAGCCAAAGTTCTGGGGACATGGGTCCAATCCCACAATGGCTGAGGGTGAAATTTGAACTCGATGAAATCTGGAATGAAAAGCTGCTCTCATGGTGACCATGTAACCACTGTCAATGATTGTTAAAAACCCATCGGTTCACTAATCTGTCATTCTTACCTGGTCTGGACTACATACAGCACCATACCAACAGCAATGTGGTTGACTCGCAGTTGCCCTCTAAGCAATTAGGGACGGGCAATAAATGTGAAATAAATTTCAAAAGCCAGCAAACATTGGTTGAGCCTGTCGGATCCAATGGCTTGCTTCTACATTCAACTGTTTGGCAAAAATCTATTCACATCATTTTGGAAAGTTCCAATCAACTCAACACCCTCAGAACTCTAACAATTCTAAATTTCTACGGTTCCAGATTTCACTTTCGAATGATCTAGCTCTAATTTTAAAAACTTATTGCTTTGATTGTTCCACCTTGGGAAAATTTGTCCTCCTCACCATAACACATCTCAAATGAGATAACTGCACCCTGTCCTAAAGGGAATATCAATCAAGTTTTATTCTAGTGACTGTGCACTGCAACCCTTCCAATATCTATTTTCCAAGGTGCAGGGCGACAATTAATATGCTACTCCGGATGGGATCTGGTCAAGGTTCTGAACAACTGATGCTTAAATTTTAGTCCTGACCCCTTAAGACAAAAGTACGCACATGGACGTCTGTCATTTCCTTGCCAGGACATCTCTATTCAAGTTTCTCAGTTAGTGTCTGAGGTCCAACCATTTTCAATTACTTTATCAATGACCTTCATAGGATCAGAAGTAAAAATGTTTACTGATGACTGCACACTACTCAACAACATCTGCAACTCATCAGATACTGAAGCAATCCATTTCCAAATACCTCGACACCTGGACAAATGCCAAGCAATGACCATTTCCAATCAGAGACAATCTAACCATCCTGCTTTGACTTTCAACTGTATTACCATCACTGAATTCCTCACTATCAACATCCTGGGGTTACCACTGACCACAAACTGAACTGGACTCGTCACAAATATAGTGGCTACAACAGCAGGTCAAACACTAGGAATCCGGCAACGAATAACTCACTTCCTGACTCCCCAAAGCCTATCCCTCATGTACAAGGCAGTAGTCAGGGGTATAACAGAATATGCTTCACTTGCTTGGATGAGTGCAGCTCCAACAATCCAGGACAAAGCAGCCCGCCTGATTGCTTGTGGATACAGTATCATTCAGTCATTCCATCACTAACTCTCAGCAGCAGCAGTGTACCATCTGCAAGATTTTTTGTTTACATTGACAGTGGTTCATGTGTGGAATGAACTTCCAGAGGAAGTGGTGGATGTGGGTACAGTTATGATGTTTAGAAGTAAGTAAATAAGAAATGTTTGAAGGGATATGGACGAAGCACAGGCAGGTGGGACTGGTTTAATTTGGGATTATGATTGGCAAGGACTGGTTGGACCGAAGGGTCTGTTTTCTTGCTCTATGACCCTAAGATTCACTGCAGGAAATGAGCCAAGGCACACACCTCTAACATCTACAAGAACAAGGGCAGCAGATACATGGGAACATCACCAGCAAGTTCCCCTCCAAGCCACTCATCATCCTGACTTGGAAAAATATCACCATACCTTCACAGTCTCTGGGTCAAAAACTTGGAATTCCCTCCCTAACAGCATTGTGGGTCTATGTGCAGCACATGGAATGCAGAGATTTAAGGTGGCAGCTCAACACCAACTTCCCAAAGGCAACTAGGGGCAGACAAAAAATGCTGGCCCAGGCAGTGACACATCCCAAATAACATTCACACCACAAAAATGCCAGGACATGACAATCACCAATAAAGAGACAATCTAACCACTGCCTCTTGACATTCAATGGTGTTACCATCGCTGAATCCCTCACCATCAACACCCTGGGGGCTATCATTGACCAGACACTCAACTGGGCTACCACATAAACACTGACTATAAGAGCAGGTTAGAGGCAAGGAATACTGCAGCAAGTAACTCACCTCCTGACTCCCCAAAGCCTGTCCACCATTTACAAGGCAGGAGTCAGGAATGCGATGGAATGTTCCTCACTTGCCTGGATGACTGCAGCTCCAAAAACACTCAAGAAGCCTGACACCATCCAGGACAAAGCAGCCCACTTGACTGGCACTACATCTGCAAGATCCACTCCCTCCACCGCTAACACACTGTAGCTACAGTGTGTATTATTACAAGATGCACTGCAAAAATTCAGCAAGGATCTTCAGACAGCACCTTCCAAATCCATGACCACTTACATCTAGAAGGCCAGCAGCTACGTAGGAATATCACCACCCGCAGGTTTCCCTCCAAGCCACTTACTATTCTGACTTGGAAATATATTGCCATTCCTTCACTGTCACTGAATCAAATCCTGGAATTCCCTCCACAATGGCAGCTCACCATCACCTTCAAGGGCAACTAGGGTCAGGCATCAAACGCTGGCCAGCCAATGACACCCACAACCCACAAAAATGATTTGAAGTATGTTCCATTTGCATGTATTCCTGTCTGCTCCTCCCTAGTTTCCCATCATTTAGAAAATAATCCAGTTCAATTTTCTCAAGTTCAAAGTGGCATCCTCTCATTTTGAGCAAAATATGTGGCAATTTACCCATCCCTCTGCAACTTCCTTCACCATTTATCGTTTCTCAACGTCATCTGAAACTTCCTACAAATTCTAGTTTTCACCAGAATCATACAGCAGGGAAAACAGACTGCTCGTTCCAATATAATCTCAAACTGAACTAGTCCCACCTGTCTGCTCCTGGCTCACATCCTTCCAAACTTTTCCTATTCATTTACTTGTCTAACTGTCTTTTAAACATTGTAACTGTGCCTGCATCCATTACTTCCTTTGGAAGTTTATTCCACACAAGAACCACCCTCCGTGTGAAAAAATTTGCTCATGTTTTAAATCTCTCTCCTCTCATCTTAAAAATATGCCCCCATCTCATTAATAAATTTAATGAAAACATTGACAGAACAGGTTCCTAGAGAATATCACTAGTCACATTGTGCCAGAGTGCATGTTCTTCATCCTGAATTCGCCTATCTCCTAATCAATTTCCAACCCAACTCACAAGGTTACTTCCAATTCTGTGCACTCATTTTTGCTAGCAGTCTCTTGGGGAATCTTACCAAATGCTTTTTGGAAGTTCTTAAAATAACTTTCATAAACACATTTTATGAATCATATTCATGATCTCAATATTTAGCTACTCTTGCAGATAACAAGTAACATAATATATAGCAAAGTCATGTTGGCTGAGATAACAAGGTGTAGAGCTGGATGAACACAGCAGGCCAAGCAGCATCATAGCAGCAGGAAGGCTGACGTTTAGGGCCTAAACCCTTCTTCAGAAATGGGGGAGGGGAAGGGGGTTCTGAAATAAATAGGGAGAGAGGGGGAGGCGGATAGAAGATGGATAGAGGAGAAGATAGGTGGAGATGAAACAGACAGGTCAAAGAGACGGGGATGGAGCCAGTACACGTGAGTGTAGTGGGGAGGAGATAGGTCAGTCCAGGGAGGATGGACAGGTCAAAGGGGCGGGATGAGGTTAGTAGGTAGGAGATGGGGGTGCGGCTTGAGGTGGGAGGAGGGGATAGGTGGGAGGAAGAACAGGTTAGGGAGGCGGGGACGAGTTGGGCTGGTTTTGGGATGCGGTAGGGGGAGGGGAGATTTTGAAGCTTGTGAAATCCACATTGATACCATTGGGCTGCAGGGTTCCCAAGCAGAATATGAGTTGCTGTTCCTGCAACCTTTGGGTAGCATCGTTGTGGCACTGCAGGAGGCCCAGGATGGACATGTCGTCTGAGGAATGGGAGGGGGAGTTGAAATGGTTCACGACTGGGAGGTGCAGTGGAACACCTACGCTCGGTTCGCAACACACAACTGCACCTCCCAGTTGCGAACCATTTCAACTCCCCCTGCCACTCCTCAGACGACATGTCCATCCTGGGCCTCCTACAGTGCCACAACGATGCCACCCGAAGGTTGCAGGAACAGCACCCCATATTCCGCTTGGGAACCCTGCAGCCCAATGGTATCAATGTGGACTTCACAAACTTCAAAATCTCCCCTCTCCCTACCGCATCCCAAAACCTGCCCAGCTTGTCCCCGCCTCCCTAACCTGTCCTTGCTCCCACCTGTCCCTTCCTCCCACCTCAAGCCACACCCCCATCTCCTACCTACCAGCCTCATCCCGCCCCCTTGACCTGTCCGTCTTCCCTGGACTGACCTATCCCATCCCTAACTCCCCACCTACACTCACCTTTACTGGCTCCATCCCCACCCCTCTTTGACCTGTCTGTCTCCTCTCCACCTATCTTCTCCTTTATCCATCTTCTATCCGCTTCCCCCTCTCTCCCTATTTATTTCAGAACGCCCTTCCCCTCCCCCATTTCTGAAGAAGGGTTTAGGCCCTAAATGTCAGCCTTCCTGCTGCTATGATGCTGCTTGGCCTGCTGTATTCATCCAGCTCTACACCTTGTAATCTCAGATTCTCCAGCATCTGCAGTTCCTACTATCTGTGATACAAAGTCATGTTGGCCATTCTTTATCAGCTGTTATTTATTCATGTGTTCAGTCACTTCATGGCAGAACAGACTCAAAGAGCCAGATGACCTATCCCTGCTTCAGAGTGTCAGATCCAACACTAATGGCAACTTATGGAGAATATACTAGAGTGTACGACCTGTGAGTTGCATGGCCCTTCTGTTCTAGCCTTTGTAAATAATTCAGTACAATTCCAAAGAAAATCCAACCTTAATTCCCAAATCATGGGACTTCAACTGAGTTCGGATTCAGACACAATTTAGTTTGTGTTTGGTTTCTCCTTCTCAAACTGAATGCTGTTGCCACTGTTTCTAAGATGCTTCCTTACTGGCAGATAGATTAATTATTTATGGTTCATTGCCTGTACCTGTCCATTTTAAACATTTGCTAAAAGTTGCCTGCACAATCAGAAAGCCAATACTGTCCCATGGTTGCAAACCAGTTCATTTAGGAACATTTCAGTCCTGACTTCAGGAACGCGTTAAGGAAATAATCATAGATATATAAATAGTCTCATCATCAGGCTGAAGATAGCATCATTTACTGGTTTGCTGTTGTTGTCATCTGTGGGCATTCATGGTAAAGTGGTGGAATGTTGTGGCAGAATGTTGTGGCAGGGGTACTAGTACATCTGGAGAAAGAGCAGTCACATCTGGCAGGATTACCAGCAATGATTCAGATACATGCTACTTTATGTAAGGGATGAAGTGAAAGCCAATCAAGAAAGTACAGTTTAACATTCCTCCAACAATCTATTCAGAATGTTTGCTCAGTTGAAAATGTACCATCCTGCCAAAGGAATGTGAGAAGTTCCAGCACAATTCAACAGATTACCCCTCCTTGTGCAGACTGAGATTAGCCATATTATCACAATGCCACGTTTTAGATATGAAACAAAATGACAGCAATTAATGAAGACACGGTTCCTGCTAATCATCTGCTTTACTTGTTTTATGTACGTTTCATGCAATACAAAGGGAGTTTCCAGTTCAAAGGTTGCAATTTTCTCTTGTTATGAGTGAATCTCAACAACTCCTAAACATTTGGTCAGCAGCATTAAACTAACAGAGTCACTGGATCTGTTTCTGCGAAATGTGGTCTTGGACCAGTAGAAAGAGTTGCTTAACCCAAGCTCCTCCCCAAAACATGAATAAAATTAAGTTACAGTACCACCAGCACTTTGGCAGTCAGAAGTGAATGATTTACTTAAATCTATCAATACCAGATGCACCGAGTAAGTTGTCAATAATATTTTCATGACCCAAAATAGGCAGCATTCAATCATTAACCTCAACAAGAGGTCAGGGAAGTTGGCAGTGATTCTTGGGTTGTTACAATCTCTATTGGCCATGGAACTGTGCCAGGCCAAGAACAGGAATGAATCATTTTAAGCAGTGTTCAACAGTTGTCCCTATAAATGGCCCAGTCATATAATCTTTAAAAGCAGAAATAGGCAAGACCTTTCAAATAGAGCAATATCCTGCAGTTGAGAACACAGGTTTGCTTAATGCATCTGCAGCAGAAAGGCATCAGAATTCCGAGCTAAATCTTCCAACTGAAGGAAGGTTCAGGGAACAGAGTGCCCCAGAGTAAGGCAGAAGCATGGGCTTTCAATGCAGGGGAAAACTCTGGATAAAATAAACTTAAATCTGCATTCTCTCTGCTGCCACCAAGGCAAACAAACAATGTGGTATTATCCTACAAATGGCAAGGCCAGACAAACTGAAACATAGCCACTGCATAGCATGGAATTACAAGTGAACCGTTGTCTTAAACAACAGGTTGAAACACCTGGGGACCATAAAAGAGCTGTAACTGAAATAGACACTCATAAGACTGGAATCTGAAGGGATATATCCTGAGAACGTGTCAGAGGTTGGAATCTTACTGATGGATTTGAATTGTTTATATACAAGGCAGCTGGCTACAGTGCAGAAAATCAGTTCATACCATGAATGGTGGATTAATCAAACAAAGAATAATCTTGATTTTCAGATAACAGCATACTGCAAGAGCAGAGATCATACTAAATAAATACAGAATCCTGGAAGCTGACTGTCCTCATTGCCAAACATGAATTTAGAAACAAAAGAAAACATCGCTGAAGTTCAACAGTCAGGCAGCATCTATGGAGAGAAACAGAGTTAATGCTTCAGGTCAAGCTGTCGTAATGAAAGGTCACTCAAGCTGAAACTTCAACTCTGTTTCTCTCCACATATGTTGTCTGCCCTGGTAAGTTCACAGTATTTTTTTAGGTTTTGAATTCAAATTTCCAGCACCTGCAGTATTTTGCCTTTGTATTGCTGTCAAATCTGATCCTGTCTTCGTCCAGCTATCAGTTTCCAGTTCAAAGACACTGGATACCATCATAATTAAGAATCCTGGCAATTTGTCCAAAAGTTCTAACACCATTTTTAACACTAAACTGTAGACTCACCACCAGAGATTTGCCAAGTCTGGACTACAAGACAGTTATTGACATAACCAAAGACTGGCTATCTTTTTGTGTAATTATATGGCTTCATTTTCTGTTGGGGATTTGCAGTAAATATATGGTTAATTACTGGAAATAGTCCAGATCTAACAAAAGTTTTATTTAAAAAAATCCTTATCTTAGTGAAGGTGAGGCGGAGAAGACGACAAACTTCATCACTCGAGGCAGGGACAGAAGGGGAATGAACAAAACAAATTAGGATCCTTATTCCTGATTTGGCAGTGAACTTAGTGAGAAACTATCAAATATATGTCAAATACCACCAGAGGTGATAAGGCTTCTGCAAAACAAGAGCAGGGACTTAAGTACTTGACAGTTAACTACCACTGTTTGGACCAGATCACAGCAACAGCCAAGGGCGCACAAAAAAAACCCTTTTGTTTTGCAACAGCATAACGTATATCTCAGACATTAAAGAGTAACCTTAAGTCATTTCCCCTGTGACATCGCCACTCTTTAAACAGGCTACTCTCTTTTACAACAGGGGTACAATATTAGCAATATATTTTACATGGAACTTTCAACAAGAGATAAACTTATTCTTCCAACCAATATATCGTAGCATCACCTTAGAGTAGCCTGGAAAACCGGTCCAGTTAAAACTAATTTTGGATACAATTCTTCTTGGACATAGCTACTTTGATTTATTTAATGACTAAGTACTTGCTTTCTACCCCAATGTCCTGTAAATTTCACAGTTAATTGTCACTTTTCTAATGCCTAGTCCAAGTAGCTGTAGCTGTGTTGGCAATTACAGCCAAGTCTGCTGCTACACTTCTTATACATGCTGTAGAAAAGTCCACTAGCAAGTACCACTTTGTGTTCCCACCTAACAACTTGCCCCAGATAAGGGCAGATCTGAATATGATCTCATCTTGTTTCATTATATACAGCAATTACTACCCGGGCCAAGGTTAAAGCTGGGATTATGATCTCAATAGCTGCAGCCTGGTGTTCACAATCCACTCACCTCTCCATTTCACAATCTCAGTTGTTTCACCAGAGGCAGGAAAAATCTTCTGATGAAGGGGTAAGAAAGAGGGAAAGAATAAAACAAAAAGAGAAAAACAGAAAATGGAGAGATGTGGGGAGAAAAGTCAATCACAGGCAGGGCAGGAGGTACCAACAAGTTGGTTTATAGCACATTATCAAGAGGAAAAACCCTCAAAATCAGGTATAAAGTTGTTAAAGAAACATTTTTGCTCATTAGTGATACAACTAAACTCAATACACCTCCTGGCCTAGCCCAGTGAGAACGTAGTTACCTGATATTTTTCTTAAAGTCCAAACTAAGCTTTATTTCTCTGCTAGAGGCTAACATAACCTTCAAATTTGAGGAACAAATAACAATATGAATATCTGTTTAATTCCTCTCTTTTGCAGTGCTGGAGCCATCAAACTACTCCTGATTTATTAGGGACACTTCAGTTAGCATCAAGGATGGTGTGCTGTAACAGGTCTTAGGCAAAGCTGCACAGAAAACATTAAGTGATATTAAACCAAATGAGTACACAGTTAACAGATGTAACTCATTGGAGGAGGAGCTCTGTGACAGATCCTCAGGGGGTACAAGGCAGTACAAAAATGCAATCTTGCTTTTTCTAAAAACTTCAAACATAGGGTTTTCCCTTATGTTAGGGCAACAGATCCAGTGTCTCTGAAACAAGTTAGTCTAATGTGTTACTCAGATTGTTGCAGTAATAATTTTAACATTGATCTTGAAATCCAAGAGAGTATTCCTAGACCTAGTACACAAAGCTCAGCATAAGAAAAGGATTTAGAAAATAGACATTACATTTACCATATAACTTTTTCCAAACATACTAACAATAAAACAGTTTTCTTTACCCCAAATCTCTGAAAAATGCATTTGCAATTTTAAGACTTTTTAAAAACATTGAGGAGAGTCTGACTGAATTCACCCAGTTTGGGTAAGAAAAGGCCTCTTTCACATGAGAACATCACTTTTAATTAATGAGAAGTGGAAAGGTTTTATACTTCAGATCATCCATCAATGGCTCTTGTCTCCATGCAATCCTCAAGTTGAGCAGGACATGAATGACTAACCGAAGAGAGGTTTTAGTGGTGAAACACTGAAATAAAATGCTCAATTAATGTGACTGGTTCTTTCTGGCGTGTACAAACATTTCACATAACTTTCCTTACCACATTATAATGGTCCAGTTATAGTAACAGGTACAGCAAACATTTCACTCCAACACAGTACTGTAGTCATTTATTTACTCATTTGGAATGTCTTATTGCTTGTCCATCGCAATGCACAGGACAGATTCCTTGACATCACAAGAGTCAGCACAGTTGGCACGAGGAGCTTAGCAACCATGAACCTCACCCATTTAAGGAGTGCGTTCAGTTTGTTTTATATGGAGCAATCAATGTGCATGCCAAAATGGTGATACGAGAACATTCAGAACATTTAAAGGAGGGGTACAAGGATTAAGGAAAAGGAGAGAACAATAACCACTGGGTGATGGCAAACAGAAGTGGTTACTTTTAAAACGGATGTACACAAATCACTAAAAGTAATCAAAACAATTAATAGAATATTAGCTTTTGACTCAAGGGAGTTTGAAGTGAAAAGTATGGGAGTTACATTTCATAAATAAAAGAAATGTTGGAAGTACTCAACAGGTCGGGCAGCATCTATGGTGTACAGCAAAACAGCTTTGAAGGGCTAATAGTTACTCCTGTTCTTAAGCTCATACAGCATAAACTGCCAACAACACAGCAAAACAAGGTAAATAAATGAAAGGCTAAGAAACTGGTGAGCACAGCAAAAATAGAACAGGAGGCCAGGATAGCAAAGAATATTAAAATTGTCAATGTTTTGATCAATACATTTGCAAACATGTAGAAAAACAGTGCAGCAAATCAGCAATCTCAATGGTGACAAAGTCAAGTAATCAGGGAATAGTAAATATTATAAAAGAATATTTGCTGTGTTCACAAAAGGAAAGCATTGGCAATCTCCTAAGAAAAAAAGCTCCTTTCTTTAGAAAGGGAATGAGGGATGAGGCGCAGGGATGCACTGATAAAAATGTTGAGCAAGTCAAAAAAAGCAAATGACACTGGGCCTGATATACCACAAGGGCACTTAAAGAAGTAGGCTTGTGAAATTGGTCACATCATCTTTCTATATTTCAGGAATCATGAGAAATGGAAATTGAAACCAAAGATTGGAAAGCATTTAATTGTTAACTTTTAAAAAGAGAAAACTATATTAGGATAGACTACTGTCAGTCTCAAGAGGTGACATGAGTTGCTGGCACATACACACTCAAACTAGTTGAATTCAGGTCAAGCTAAAGCAATGATATCCAGGCACCAGAGGCAGTGGAGAAAAGGAGACCCCTTTTCAAAACTTTAGTCCATACATTTTCCAATTTGCTCTAATTCCTCTGTTACCAGTACACAGCTCTCACTTTCATGGCTGCCCTGGGCTGTGAGCAACTTTTTTTTATATAGTTTTAAATTCAAGATGAAAGGCACCATTATCAAAAGCTCAGTCATTGCGCAAAGCTCATTTCATAAGGCAATTGGTCCAAAGATTACTCAAAGATTAAATCCTATAACAGACCGTATTCTTTCCAAAATAGAACTTCCACCTCAATTCAACCTGTCACTAACACTTACTTACAATATCTACTTACTAAAGGTAGGCTCCCCTTACTTTGAATCATATCTTCAAGATATGAAAAAAAACCTCTCTGCAATAAATCCGCTACAGCAGCTGGAACAAAATGTAATGCCTAGGTCAGCAATACTCAACCTCTGAAAGCTGTATAACAGTTGCTATTTTTAAAATAAATTTCAAATTAGAGATTCCATCTGTAAGGGTGGCAAGATTCTAGTAGAAAAAGGAAAGGTTTCTCATACAGTACACTGTGTATTATCTCACAGGCTATTAGATTATTATGATCTATGAAGAAAAAGCATGCTTCCTGCAATGTCTCTGGCTATTGAAGTCAGTACTTCCTGAATATGTGAAAGGAAGGGATCCCTCCCAGATTCAAGGTTGCACACACCATATGCCTGTCAACAAGGAGCATGCAAATTCTACAGTGCACCCAGACAGTGCATCTCCCGTTCACACAAATGCATGATCGCCTTCAATGCGTGCACCTTCAGCTATAACATGCATGAATACACAATCCAAAAAACTCTGGTAGAAATGAACACAAATTAAAAGAAAACAGGAGCTGGTAACTCAGTGCCAACTTCTTCACGCTAATTGACAGGATGGGACATATATTTTACCAAACAGCATGTAAAAACAATTTACAAAAACTGATCCTCACCCAAATTGTAGGAACAGGAGCTGGTCTATCAGCTCTTCAGGTCTGTTATGCCATTTAATTAAATCACATTTGATCTGGACTCGCTACATTTTCCCTTACTTGGGAAAATGTCAATCCAGATAATGAGTTAATGAGCCTCGAGTGCTTCAACCATCTGAAGAGGAAACATTTTTAGTGATCGATAGGGAGGCGAGAGTGTAGGCGAACTTCACACTCAAGGTTAAATTTCCCACATTCTCAACCTTTATAAGCAAAGTTAATTTCAACATTATAATACAAAAATGGCTTTGTTCAATAAATAGTGAAATTGATTGGTTTCCCCCCCCCCCCCACCACTCCGAACATCCTCCAAATAAAAGATGGTAGTAGTAGAAAGGGGAGGCAGGATGTAGAAGAGTACAGACACACTATAAAACTGCACATTCTGAAAAGGTGCAAAGATTTTCTCACTCCCCCAAGAATATTAAGCATTTTAACGTATCAGGGGTGTTTCTTTGCAGCCAATTGCCAAAAACAAAATCACCACCTTAAATTTTCAACATTTGGATTTAAAATTGTGGCTGAACACCAAGACAAAAATAAATTCCATTAGGGCTCAGCACATTGAGTAGTTTCAAGCAAAAGCACAATAAGGAGCATCATTAAAGGCAGTGGGGACAGACAAAATATTATCTAGCAACAATAACCCACAAGCTCAGTTTACATTGGTATGATCACCGTAGTCAACATTCAGTGGAGGATGAGAAAGGGCAAGAGGGGCATAGAGAATGAAGAGTTTTAATACTGTTTCACTCACTATCGCTGCTTCCACTTCCAGTACTGCTAGTGTCTTAACATGGACATAACAGCAATACTCCATACAGCGTAATGACCTGTCTGAGAGATCTCCACTTTATCGGGTTAAGCTTTCTCATGTGAAATTGGCCAATAATACAGCAAATATACATGAGCACAAATGAAATGAGGAAAATTTCCTGAGAACAGAACTACTGTAGCACTCAAGTGTTGCACTAGTGTAAAGCAGGCTTTCAATTGCCTTTGATTAACTTGGAAATATTAACCTTGTATATAATATATATATATATATAATCTTTATTTAAATGTAAACAGAACAGGAACCATTAAAAGATAAGGCTCCACAAAGGAGGGGGAAAATAGTGACAGCTGTAGTCCTTTCAAGTAAAATTCTGTCCAATTGCCTTGTTCAAAGTTGCGGCCTTCCACAGATTAGTCCATGCCTGAATGGGGGAACATACACATGTAAAGAACAGTATGACAAACATCATACACCATAGCAGAATAACCTCCCATTGTGAAAAGGTCTACACTCTGCTAATGGAAGGCAATTAGTAAATTTTGCTGTTGGGTTAATTGTAAACCCCTACATCCCCTGTCCCCAGCCCACCTTTGCCTGTACCCTGGGCTTGAAACCTTATTGCCAAGTTGTAGAGCTGCAGATATGTGACTTTGTTGTAGGTCTTCCCAGCGAAGGCCCGCTTCACTGGATCATTTCTCCAACTCTTCTGTCTGCGCTGACTGCTGGTGTACCGATGCCTGCAGGTGGCCCATGCAGGTTCCCCTTGAAATTCTATCTTGCTCCATATGTGTTGGCAAAGGAATAGGTTGTGCCAGCGATACTGTAGGTATGACTGCAGCAGGAACTATGAGACCGTGATTGGAGCCCTTCAGAGTAAGGTCTTGCGTGGGCAGGAGTGGCTTCAAGATACTGACCAGACAGAAAGCAGAGCCACTTTTTGGGATAAAGTTCACTTTATTTTTATCTGGACAGAAGAATTGAGGAATCTCGTGCAGCTGCTTTGGTCTGGAATAAAGGAAATATAACATCAGTTATAAAATAAATGAAATTTTACTTCTGCGATCAAGATCATTTGTGGGCACTGTTTGTTTCAAGTGCAGTCACCAAATTTCAATTTTTCAGCCTTAGAAAAGTCTTAGAACATTGTGGGTTCAAGTTCCATGCCAGATATTTTAGCACGTAAGCCAGGTTGCCATTTCAGTGGCATGCTGAACAACATTGAAGTAGATGCTACGAATCCCACTGCACTACTCTGAGGAATGCAGTGGACATGTCCAGAGTGTCCTGGCCAATACTTATTCCTGAATCAACACCCTTAAAGCAGATCAACTGCCCTATTATCTCACTGTTGCTGTGTTTTCTAGGTTACAACAGTGACTATACTAGAAATGTGCTTCATTGCTGCAAAGAGTTTTGAAAAATTCTGAGATCATAGTAGAAATGTAAATGCAGAACATATTGTTCTGAAGTGGCGGCACTGGACCTGAAACATTAACTCCACTTTCTCTCCATAGATGCTGTCAGACCAGAGTTTTCCCAGAAATTTCTGGTTTTGTTTCCAACTCCCAGCACCCACAGTTCTTGGGGTTTTTTTGTCTTAAAGATCAGATCATTCTATTAGGATTCTTAATAGAAGTGCACAAGAAAGATGATATGTAAGATGATGCCAATATGGTAAAATTGAGTTATTTTAGAAAACAGAAGGTCATTCCAATTAAAGTAAATAAATTAGGCTTGAAGAAACTCAACTGGGGGAGTGCAATGGTATTGTGGGGCCACTGGCATTATCTTGGATCATTTCTGGTCTTCTTCAAGCCTCCCTCATTCCACATTTCAAGATTCCAAGGTTATTCAGTCACTGGATTCTTCTTTTCCCTTTTCCTATTTGACTCTTAATTTTACTTCTAATTTTACCAGGACAAGGCTCAGGACTTCATTCCCAGTGTTCCCAAAGGCTGTTTTTCTCTCTCTAACTGTACTCAGTGACTCTTGCAATTCTCGAACTTCTATTCCATCCAACCCATCATTTGTCTCTCTGTCCATCCAATACCATTACCCGAGATTAGGAACAAACAGAGAATGTTGGAGAAAATCAGCAGGTCTGGCATCTGGGGAGTGAGAAATGGAATTGATGCTTCAGGTCTAGTATGACTTTTCTTCAGAGGTCAGGTAAGTAGAAGCATTTAAATCACTGTATCGGCTAAGATGTCTAAAACCGAGAGAGAACTGGTTCTGGAAGGACATACTATTGAATCAAATGTTTGTTGCCTTAAAATAAATTCTTGGGCAAATTGTCATTTCCTTCAGCTTTCATCAAGCAAATGAGACATTCCGCAATGACATAAAAGCAGAAGCCTGATGACTGCCAAACTTTGATCTGGACCAGGCAATGGATGTGGGCATCAAAACATTAGAAAGATAGGCAAAGTGAGATGAAGGCATCTTCACCAGATCTGGGTCTTACATTAGAAGACAAAATTGGAATAAAAATAACGAATGAACATTTCCCAGGAACAATAAAGTAAGTACTTAAGTCATGAAATGGAGTACCATAATGAAATGATCTGTCCAAAGTAAAAAATCATAATTAACTTACAGAATATAGAAAAAGACCAACTGGTGTACTGTGTCTGTCTAAAAATAAACTAGACACTCATTCTAACCCGACCTTGCATCACTCGGTCTGTAGTCTTGCAGTTTACAGCACCTCCGGTGCAGATCCAGGTTATTTTTAAAATGTACTGAGGGTTTCAAACTCAACCATCAAAACCGAGTAGTAAATTCCAGACATCCACCATTCTCATGGCCCTTCTAATCCTTCTACCAATTACTTCAAATGTGCCCCCCATAATTAACTCTCTGCTTGGGGAAATAGGACTTCCAACTTAGGGTCTACCCTAAGCTCATTATTTTGCATGTCTTGATTAAGTCAGCATCTTATGTAGAAGGAAAAACAATCCTAGCCAATCCAATCTTTTCTCATAGATGCAATTTTCAAGCCCTAACAACAGTCTTGTAAACCTCCTTTGTACCATCTCCAGGGCAATTATGTCCTTCCTGTAATGCAATGATCTGAACTGTACACAAAATTCCAACCATAGCCTAATCAGGGTTTCATAAAGTTTCAGCAATACATCTCTTACACTATACTTTATCCAATGAAGGAAAGCATTCCATATGCTTTATGAACATTATTTACCCATCCTAGCATCTTCAGGTACTTGTGACATGCACTCCAAGATCTCTCACTTACTCTATCCCTCAGTATTCCAGTTTATTGTTTACTCCCTAGTTTTGTGTTCCCTCTCAAAAAGAAACTACTTCACACTTCTCCGGACTGAATTCCATTTATCACTGTTCCATCCATTCAACTAACTCTTCAGTGTTCTCAAAATGACACACAACGAAGAGAATTTTCAATAAGAAAATGAAGATGATGCTAAATTCAAACATCAAATATTGAACATAAAATGTTCTAAGTCCTATGATGAATTTGTCAGTTGTGGACTTCAACTGTAGAACTAGTCATTGCTTATATGTCAACAGTGCAGGATAGTCTTTTTCTGTATTGTAGATCTCTAAGACAGATGGGTTAAACATGATCTTGATTCATTAAGTTATGGGGATCGACACGTAATTTAAGGAACATTTAAGGAATAAAGGAGTTCAACTTGCTTTAGGTTCAGTAAAGACAACATGCACATCACAAAAGGAAGCTGTAATTCCATGTAAAATAGCTGATGATTCAGAGTTTAGTGAAAAACAAAACTTGACATAGTGCATGATAAGGCAAATATGGTTCCCGTTGTGGCCTCCTCTACATCGGGGAAACCAAGCAAAGGCTGGGGGACCGCTTTGCAGAACACCTACGCCCAGTTTGCAACAAACAACTACTCCTCCCAGTCACGAACCATTTCAACTCCCCCTCCCACTCCTTGGACAACATGTCCATCCTGGGCCTCCTGCATTGCCACAATGATGCCACCTGAAAGCTGCAGGAACAGCATCTCACATTTCGCTTGGGAACCCTGCAGCCCAAGGGTATCAATGTGGACTTCACAAGCTTCAAATTCTCCCCTCCCCTGACCGCATCCCAAAACCAGCCCAGCTCGTCCCCGCCTCCCTAACCATTCCTCCCACCTCAAGCCCCACCGCCATCTCCTACCCACTAACCTCATCCCGCCTCCTTGACCTGTCTGTCCTCCCTAACTCCCCACCTACATTCACCTTTACTGGCTCCAACCCCACCTCTTTGACCTGTGTCTCCTCTCCACCTATCTTCTCCTTCATCCATCTTCTATCCACCTCCCCCCTATCCCTATTTATTTCAGAATCCCCTTCCCCTCCCCCATTTCTGAAGAAGGGTCTCGATCAAAAACGTCAGCTTTCCTGCTCCTCTGTTGCTGCTTGGCCTGCTGCGTTCATCCAGCTCTACACTGTTATCTCAGATTCTCCAGCATTGGCAGTTCCTACTATCTCCAGAAAAGTTGACATCAAGGTTTCACAGAGAACCTGGTCATCCTATTTGTCAAAGGTTAACAATCCTATTAAAAGATGCAGGGGCAATTAATGGTCAGTAAGTGAAAGTTACTGAGATGAAGACGAGGAGAGAAAGTGGAGAGTAAGAAAATACAGTGGAAAGATCAACTGCAAGTACAGAAATGACTCTTCCAACAGAAAACTATGATGTACTGGGGAAAGACTCTCCATTAAAATCTTGCAGGAGAGGTCCCAGTAGACAATAAGACGGAAACAGGCATAGCTGAATTGATAAGACAAGACAACAGGTCAGTCTCAAAACAGAACTACATGCCAAAATCTTCATGGTCATAACAGGGGAGGTCGTAGAAGCAGATATGACAAAAGTATGAACAAACAGGGAACAGAAGGAAACAGACTGCGTTGCAGGCAGATCATGTTAGTTTACAATGGCATCATGATCAGCACAGACATAGGTGGGCCAAAAGACCTGTTCCCGTGCTGTACTGTTTGGTATTCTATCTATAAATATATGAGGAAAAAGTAACAGGAAAGACAAACACGGAGTTAGTTACATGGAGAGAGTTTGAAGTTTATGCTGAGGTACCAGAGTATATTCGCAACGTCAAGACACAAGGCCAAGTGCTGGAAAATGGGCTCAGAATAATCACGTGCTGGTTTCAATTGGTGCAGACTTGATGGGCCGAAGGGCTTTTTAAACATGCTGTAGACCTCTATGAATCTATAAGATGTGGCCAGTCTTGCCATATGGGATTTTCTCAGTACAAATCCACCTATTTTCCAAACTTATGCGGCTAAAGTGAGGGTATTTCGGGAGAATTTGAAAAGCAAATTAGTGTTAAGGAATCTTCAAAATCTTTTTAGCTCTTTTAGTCACACTCATGAGAGCCTAAGTCAACCTAATAAGAAACACATTTCTGTGAGATTATGTCTTTCAGAGAAAATATCTGAAACTCCCAGAGAAATAGCAAAGAGAAGGAAACTAAACAACTTTTATGTGGTACCATAAAGGAAAAACTTCAGCCATCTGCAAGATATTGATGCTTTCCAATGAGGTAGAAATGCCTGCAGAATGAGAGAAATGTATTGTGACTTTTAAACACAAAATTTATAACTGGGAACCAGGTCTGTGAGATTTTTAAAAGTATTGATTGAGGTATTCAGATATTCAAAGCAGATTGGAAATAATTTGACATCAACAATTCTACTTCGTCCCTTACGGCCATTCATGTTAATCGCATTAGGTCATCACAGTTAAGGTTAAGATAAAGGTTAAAGTCCCATAAGTCCCAGAGGACCTTAGGGCTGCTTAGAGAGAGAGATGACTGGTGGTGGTCTAACCTGTGGGTTACCACTCCTCAGGTGAGGGAAGAGGTTGAAGAGGAAACTCCTTCATGATAGCCTCAGCCAGTGCAGGAACTAAACTCACGCTGTTGGCATCACACTGCATTGCAAACCAGCTACGTGAGCTAATTGACTTCCTTTTAAGTCATCACAGAAAGATGCTATCTAATGGGATACAGCAATTTCAAACTTGATTAATCATTTCAACTGGTTACACACTCAAACTAGATAAGATGAAATTTAAAACTGGATGAATACATAATCAAGTTCTCATTTTTAGATGGCCCAAAGAAAATGAAGCTAGTCGCTTTTACAAATGCTTCACATGATGATCTTCATGGTGGGTATTCAAGTGGAGTTGGTTTCATAATAGTTCTAATAGGTTGGAATGAGAAATTCTGTCCTTTCACTTTGGAAACTAAGAACATTGAAGGATTGTTCAAAGTACTTCTGCTGCCAAATTCTGGCAGTGGATATGGCATTTTGTGTCTTCAATATTTTGAGATATTTGGTTCAACAAGCATATTGAAGATAACATGCCCATTGAATGTTGTGAGTTAATTATGCAATGCGAGATTATGAACATCCTACAAAAAGCATGAGCATGAGTAAGGAGCGGTGACAGATTAATCTAGCTGTATTGTAAGAAAGGTTGGGGGAGAAAGAAAAACTCTAGAATTTAATGGGGTGGAAGGGAAAACAGATAGAACTCAGCAACCAACTGATAACTTGCTAAAAAATAGTGGGCATGAAAGAATTGTTAAGGGTTCTAAAGAGAGGGGACTTCAAATCTCATTCTGCACAGAATACAGAGTTCTTTAATATTTGTTTTGAAATAATGGTTCAACATATAAACCAATTTTTATTCAAAAGAGAGAAGAGAATCTGTTAAATGTATTTTAATTGCAGTTTTTAATCCGGTCAATATTGAACAAATTAATATTTTGCTATTCTTGACCGAACATTAAATTGTTTCTTCCAGTGACAGACCAATAAGGATGGGTACTCAGTCTATTGGTCTCCTCAGATAGACTGATAAAGACAGGTACTTCTCGCTAATATTTCCCCTAGGGACAGATCTACAAAAACCAGTACTTAATCCTGTATTACAGCTCAAAATGTCCTCTGTAGAATGAGAGGTGGAAAGGTCAGCTGGATTAATTGCAAAGCTAACACCCAGCAATATCCTAGTAAATGGCCCAAAAATGTCAACAAAACGTAATTTCAACAATGTTAATAACTCTGACTATTTCTAGTGGCAGCAGCTTGGAATAAATTAGACATGGGCATGACCCCAAACTAACAAGGAAATTTACATACCACTGCCAATATATTAAGTCCTCAGATAAAAGAGCAAACATAAAGGAGGTCTGAATAATTAATGGGTTTTTTTTATATAAAGATCCTGGCACCTACTATTTGGGCCAATCGATATTCAACTTGCTTTTGAAATTTAATTGAAGAATGAGATTTTAAGGAATGTGCAATTCTCACAGATAAGGGCAAGAGGTTTTAAATGAGCAAAGAGTAAAAGCACATCAGAAAGAATAATCACAGGCTGATCAACACCTTTTGATGGCTATAACGCAGTAGGAATACAGATCAACCACTGTGGATACAAACACAAATCAAGTGGCCAGGAATGCACGGAATCAATACTGACTGTTCGATGCACTTCCTGAGAAATCTCATACTTACGAAGTTTCCTCAAAGGCTTTCACCCTCTCACAGCCTTCTGGTGGTTCCCGTTTGAAGTCATAACTATTGTTTGGCTTCGGAGAGGAGGCATACTTAGGTAATGGAGAGCTAGTTCCACTTTCTGCAATGAGAGAAATCAAGATTCAGTATTTACATAGGGAAAGCTCCTGCAACTTGAAGCTAGAAATTTCAAAAGAACTGCTGCAGTTTATACATGTGTTGGGTATCCTCTTTGGTATGATAGGCTTGCATTTAGGAGCAGATGGTACTGTCAAATATTTAAGTATATAACAATATAATTCAAGGTGTGGCAATACGACTCTTGAGATGGGACTTGATATCAGTCTTTTCCACCTGTTCCTCACGTACCTTTCGTGTCTTTTTGAAGGCAGGTTGAGAAATATTGTGAAATAAGCCCAATACATATCATTATTCACTTTACTCCATAAACAGCTGAAAATAGAGAGCTGACTGCTAAAACTACTTCCATGACCTCATTCAACCTTGACCAAAAAAGGCTGAGGAACAGAGATTAATACCAGATTGTAATTATAATTTATCTGCTGACCACTCAACCAAACTAATGACTCCATCTGCCAGCAGTCTATTTACTGCGGGTATCATATCCCATTGTCACCTGATGAAAATCATCATAACTGTAATGAATTTGAACACTATTACTACATCACAAACGGCAAATCATACTGCTCAACACTTCCAATTATCTGGGTAAAGGGCTGGTTATGAGGTAATATGCATTCTTTGCATTAATATCAAAGAGAGTAAAGGAATAGAAGGCTCTGTGGTGCAGAGGTCCCTAACTGTGAGTCAGGAAACCTGGGTTGAAGTCCACTATCTCCAAAGATGCATAATAACATCTTTGAACAAGTTGATTAGAAAATATCTAGAATACAGTAGTCTGGCAATGCAATGGTACTGTCCATTCCTCTAGGCCAGAGGGCATAGCTTCAAGGAGAACTGTCATAATATATCCAAACAGATTGATTTAAAAGTAAAACTAATACATTCAGCCAGTCCACAAACCAAACTCTCAAAGCAGAGTGGGTTAATATTCCAGCCCTACCTACTCATGTCTACCGGATATGATTTGATTTGACTTATTATTGTCACATGTATCCAGGTATAGTGAAAAGGGTTTGTTTTGCATGCAATACTGCATAGGGTAATAGAACAAAGTGAAGAATACTACGTTACAGCTGCAGAGAAGGTGCACAGACAGCGAGATTAACATTAAATTTAAAATTTGAGAGGTCCATTCAGAAGTCTAATAACAGAGGGGAAATTGTTCTTGAATCCATTTTTACATGTATACCAACTTTTATATCTTCTGCTCAATGGAAGAGGATGGAAGAGAGTATAACCAGGATAGTTAATTATATTGGTTGCTTTCCCAAGGCAGCAGGAAGTATAGATAGAGTCAATGAATGGAATGCTTGTTTACGTGATGGACTAGGCTCTGTTCACAACCCTAGTTGATTAGAAAATATCTAGAATACAGTAGTCTGGCAATGCAATGGTACTGTCCATTCCTCTGGGCCAGAGGGCATAGCTTCAAGGAGAACTGTCATAATATATCCAAACAGATTGATTTAAAAGTAAAACTAATACATTCAGCCAGTCCACAAACTTGGGAACAGCAGTTGCCAAACCATACTGTAATGCATCCAGATAGATGCACCATAGAAAGCATTCTATTAAAAGAAATGGTTGAGAGTCCTTGTGGACATGCCGAATTTCTTTAGCCTCCTGAGGGAGTAGAGACATGGAGATGAATAAAGGAGGGTACATTGACATTAGAAAGTAGAGCCTAACTGCTACTAAAAATTCAACATGCAACTCTCCAAATGCCTGCTGAGATGTTCACCCAAACAGGATTAATCCTTAGAGACAGGAAAAATGTTTGCTTCTCTCAGTGAGAGCTGCAGTGCAAAGGAAGAATACTGAAAGTGGAAAAGTTTTTATGATTGTCAGAAAACTGCACTGAAAGGACAGTGGTTTCTATCAGTGGTATCAGCTTCCTTCCCACGCAACTTGGGCTCCTGACTTTTCACCACCTACCATAGCCGTAGTTAGAAACTTGAAGAAGTTACAATGTAGCTCAAAGACAAGTAGCACCAGAATAAAAGCCACCAGTAATTTGTTATAAAAGCCACATTTCAGCAAACATACACTCAACCCACAACTTTAAAAAAAAAAAGTTTGTTCAGGGAAATGTGAACATAGCTCAGTTAAGCATTATTTCCCATCCTAAATTGCTTCAGAGGTGGTGAGTTGCCTTCTGGAATTGCTGCAGTCTTTGGGTCTTTAGGACACTGTCAGATAGATGCCAGTGTTGTAGCTGTTCTGGAACAGCTTGGTTACGGACACATGTTCTGGAGAACAGGTCTTCAGCAAAACTACCAGAATGCTGACAGAACCCATAAGCGTTTGCAATATCCGGAGCATCCAACCGTTTCTTGGTATCATGTGAAGTTAATCATATTGGCTGAGGACATAGATCAGTGATGCTGGGGACCTCAGGAGATGATGGAGATACATTATCCACTAGGCAATTCAGGCTGCAACAGTTGCTAATTTTGTCTTTTGCACTGACTGATCTACTTGCATTTTGAATGTCCCATTTCCATCTATCCCCAGAAACACTCGACTTCCCTAACAACTCAAGAAACATCCACATCCACTTTAAAGATATTCAATAATTTCACCTCCACCACCTTTGGAGACAGGGTTCAAATACTACCCAACCACAGACAAAATTTCTTATCTGTCTTGAAAGGATGGCCTATAATATTTTTTAAACAGTGCTCCCTAGTTCACTCAGAAAACACACTCTTCACATCCGGCGATAGTAAGAACTGCCGATGCTGAAGTCTGCGTGACTGCGTAAGTGATTGCGTGCGTTCCTGCTGAACACACACACCCTGCTGGCCGTCGGGTGCAACCGCAGCAGGGAGACAATCAACTGCTTTCTCTGTGCAGAGGGGAAAAGGGCTTCTGCCCACATGTCTGTTACGTGCGGTGCAACACGCTGTTGGGCGGCATGGTAGCTCAGTGGTTAGCACTGCTGCCTCACAGCACCAGGGGCCTGGGTTCGATTCCACCCTCGGGCAACTGTCTATGTGGAGTTTACACGTTCTCCCTGTGTCTGCGTGGGTTTCCTCCGGGTGCTCTGGTTTTCTCCCACAGTCCGAAGATGTGCAGGCTAGGTGGATTGGCCATACTAGATTGCTCATGGTGTCCAGGGATGTGTAGATTAGGTGGGTTTGGGGAATGGGTCTGGGTGGGATGTTCTGAGGGTCGGTGTGGACTTGTTGGGCTGAACGGCCTGTTTCCACACTGTAGGGATTCTATGGAGAGATAACAGTGTGGAGTTGTAGGAACTCAGCAGGCCAGGGAGCATCAGAGGAGCAGGAAAGTTGATATTTCCGGTTGAGACCCTTATGCTACCCAGCCTGCTGTGTTCCTCCAGCTCCACACTGTACACTCTTCACATCCACCTTGCCAAAAGCATTAATGATCTTACATACTTCAATCAAGTCACCCCCTCATTATTCTAAACTCTAGTGAATACAAGCCCAGCCTGTCCAAACTATCCTTATAAGACAACTTGCTCATTCCAAGCATCAATCTTAGCAACATTCTCTGAATTGCCTCCAATGCATTTACATTCCTCCTTAAATAAGGGGACCAACTGCACAGAGTATTCAAGACGTGGTCTCACCAATAACTGAAGCATAACATCCTTAATTTGATGTTGCATTCCTCCTGTAATAAAAAAACAGCATTAACCTTTGTAGCACACAGTGTACCTGCATACTAGTTTTGATGACTCATGCACTAGAATGCCCAGATTGCACTACTCCTCAGAATTCTGCAGTCATTCTCCACTTAAGCAATACTTTGCTTTTCCTTTCTTCCCACCAGTGAACGAGTTCACGTCTTTCAACGTTATATTCCATTCACCAGATTTTACCCAGTCACCCAAGCCAATTATATCCATCTGCAACTCCCATTACTTCTTCACATCATACTTTTCTACTCATCTTGGTGCTGTCTCTGAACTTAGCTAACATGCCTTTGCTCTCATCTAAAATAATATCAACTGTAAGAAGTTGAAGTCTCAGCACAACAGCCAGTAGGTCTCCACTTGTCAGATTTTGCCAGTTATGAATGCTCTGATTCCTGCCAACCAATCTTCTGTCCGTGCTAATGGGTTATCCCCTCCATCACAAGCTTGTATTTTCTTCAGTAACCTTTGGATGCAGCATCTTATCAAACGCTGTCTGTAAACCTAAGCACTGTCTTCTCAGTACGTTCTATCTAACGTGTCCAAAGATGTCATGACACACCAGTGCAGCAGTTGGGATTTGAACCCAAGCCTCCTGCTCCAGAGGTATGGACACTATCACAGTGCCACAATAGCCCGAGCATAGTCTTCTATGTATAATTAATCAGCCTGTTTGGACATGTTGTGGGACATTTCCAGCACAGGTGGGAATTGAACACTATCAGTGTGCCACTGCAGTGATTGCAATGAGGTCAGCCAGGTAGACCTCAGAATATGAGATCCCTGATTGGACCAGATTAACAGGCCCAATCAGGGAGCACTGGCTGACAGATAAGGAGTGTAAGACATCCTGTTAACTGAGATCTGGCTCTGAGGGAGCTCGATTAATGTCAAGGCTGTTTCATGTGTTAAGAAAGGGTGACTTGGTGATGGGATACCAGCCTCTGTGGAGTTATTTCAGTGGCAGCAAGAAAGCATGCTCCTAAAGAAATTTGCTCTTAACAGTCGTCTTTTCAGTTGGGATAAGCATTTCTAGCACTATGCCCTTTGTTGGGAAGCCTGACTCATTCGATTCTGTCAAGACTGGGCCCAATATATGGAAAGAATGCATTATTTTTTCTAGGCAAATGACATTGAGGCAGGCGAAAAGCAATGAGTAATTCTCCTGGCAGCTTGTGGACCTGCAGCTTTTTCCACTATTAGGAGCCTAACCTTCCCTGAGGCACCAGATACTAAAACCTTTCAGGAGTTCACAGATTTAATTAAGGATTATTATAACCCCAAACCTCTAATTCCGAGACATTATCAGTTTT